CCTTGGAAAGACCAGCACAGTTAAATGGTGAAATTAGTTGTGCACTTTTGTCATTTTAGTTGGCTGGCTTGTCCTTTGATTAATGTGCAAATATCATGTTGTGCAGTTACAGTTAAACTATCAGTCTCTGAGGGTTTTCAAATGGACTTAAAATCAGTCAGCTATTTTCTTGTGTTTGTGGAATAGAATATTGGGTTAAGAGATTTGTAGCTGAGCCATATAGAATAGATGGGTCCCTGTCTGGAGCACTAATTCAATCGTACAGTTGTGACACCCAGCCAAGCTGAGATCACAGCAATGAATGGAGAATATTTCAGACTAGATGTTACTGTTTCACTACCATTTTTTATTATTTGGTCTTTCATTCCTAAGCCATTCTTTTGAAGGAAGTAACAATTTAAAATGCCAGAAGTTTTATAAGCAGAGAAGAATGCCATTTGGCCCATCGTGACTACACTCACTTTCCAAATGAACCTCATGACATAGTGCCTTTTCCTTATCCTCTTGAATATTGTTTCTATTTAAATAATCATTTAATGCCCTCTTGTCACAATTGAAACTGCCCCCACCACATCTGGCACCTTTCCGTGCAGCCGCATGAAGTGCTGCACCCGCCCCTATACTGCACCTCTCACCTCTGTCCAAGGCCCCAGACAGTCATTCCAAATCAGCAGGGATTTAGCTGTACATCTACTAACCTGATCTATTGTATCTGTTGCTCCAGATGTGATTGCCTCTGTATCGGAGAGACCAAGCACAGACTTAGTGACTAATTCGCGGAGCATCTGCACTCTGTACCCTCCAACTAATACCACTTTCCGGTTACCAGCCATTTCAACTCCCCCTCCCACTCCCTTGATGACGTGTCCGTCTTGGGCCGTCTCCAGTATTACAATGACACCACACGTAAACTGGAGGAACAACACCTTTATATTTTGCCTTGGGAGCCTACAGCCCAAAGACCTCGAGTTCACCAGCTTCAAAATCTCCCCACCCCCGGCCTTATCTCATGTCAAGCCCTCCCTCTCGTCCCCCCCTCCTTGACCTGACACAACCTTTCCATCTTCCTCCTTACCTGTCTGCTCCACCTTTCCCACCAACCAATCTCTACAGCCCCCTACTTGCATCCACCTATCACCATCCCACCTACCTTCCCCCAGCCCCAACCCCGTCCCTCTATTTATTTCTGAGCTCCCTTTCCCCCTCCCCAGTCCTTATGAAGGGTCCAGACCCAAAATGTTGACTTTCCTGCTCCTCAGATGCTGTCTGACCTGCTGTGCTCCTCCACCTCCACATATTTTATCGACTGAGACCTGAGTCACTTGTGCCAAAAAGATTTTTCCCACATCACACTTACTTCTTTTGCAATTACTTTAACTTTGTTTTCTCTCATTCTTGATCCTTTTCTGAGTAGGAACAGTTTCTCCCCATCTTTTTGTCCTGCCCCCTCATGATTTTGAAAAGTTCTAACAGTTCTCCTCTTAGCCTTCTTCTCTCCAAGGAGAACACAGTCTCAGTTTCTCCAATTGAATTTCATAACTGAAGCTTCACTTTGTTGGACTCAGTCGTTTTTATTAATCTCTTCTGCAGTTTCTCTAATGTGTTCATATCCTTCCTGTACTGTGGCAGCATGAATTGTATGCAGTGCTCCGAAATGAGGTCTAAGAAGTGTTGTATACAAGTTCAGCATGACTTCTTGCTCTTGTAAATCTATGCTCCTATTAGTAAAGCCAAGATCCTGTATGCTTCATTAACTGCTATCTGTGCGTTTAAAGATCTGTGTACATATGCACCTTATTTAGAATTGTATCTGTTCATGTTCTTCTTACTAAAATGCATCAACTCTCAATTCTCTGTCTTGATCTTCCTCTGTGACCTATCCACTCACTCCACCAATTTGTCCGTTTCCTCTTCACAGTGTACAATGCTTCCAAGTTTTGTATCATTGACATTGCAACCTAATCTTCTTTTATCACAGATTTGCTATTGAAATTGCGATTTTTGCTTTTTAAGAAAGTATCGCAAAACATCATTTACTTGCCCATTTACTGAGATACTGATCGACAGTATTTCTCCTCAGATACGAACTCGAGCTGTGTCTGCAAAGGCAATGACGTTAGTTAGCCCACTCCAGTTGCTTTTCTATGGTTCAAAGAAGGTGACTTCAAATGGAGAAATTATTCTGATGGATGACTGGTAAGAAAGTTTGAAGTTTCAACACGCTTTTACTTTCAGTTTCTGTTGAATACTGATATCCAGTTATAAGTAGTGTTTCAAGATCATTTTAATCTCTCAGTTGTACATGGAATCTGTGATTGATCCAAGTCCAATAATGATGAATAACAGTGATATTTAATGTAATAAAGCAGTATAGTACTACATGATCAGTGATTTGATTTTAACTCTGTGATGTAGCCCATTCGGGGATTTGTGATGAAGCCAGTGTGCTTTTCTCATCTCTTTGGAACATATCTATTCCAGAAAAGTGACATTGAATTTATTATTTGTGGTAACAAATTTCACTTTGTTTGACTTAAAACTATAACTGCAGCTGGTAAAGGCCTCATAACCTGCTTCCACAATCTTAAACTTCAGCTTTTTTTAAAAAAAAAAGTATGGTGTGTACTGTATATGCAAAAATGCTGTAAACAATTCAGTTTTTCCCAGAATTTGATGATGGTTATATTTACTAAGAGTGCAACAGAGTTTCCACCTAATTGGAGAAACATCTAAAGATAAAATATTAATTTTGCCACTTATGACCGTGCATAATGTGGCTCATTTAACTTTATTCTCCCAAAAATGCTACTTGTAATTTAACCATCTTTGGAAAAACTATCAAGTATCATTTTTTTTGTGTGTATTGAAGTGTTCTGTAACAATACATATTTTCATTGGTCTGAGAAGACGTATTAGTAACTGCATAGCTTAGTTCTCATTAGTTCTGAGATAACTTGCATAGCAACAAGTACCTTTTTAGATCTGTTTGAAATTGCTCATGTTGAGTGCTAAATATTATTTGTGCTTTTTAGGATAAAGTTGAAGATGCCTCACTATACAGCTGCTGCAATTGTTGCTCTGCGTGCAGGAATGGAGGCACTGGTTGTCGAAGTTGCCAAGGATCCAGAATTCATACGACAAATGGATCCTGCACATGAACGATTGTTGAATGTAATCCGGCAGATTTCAAAACCTGGTGCAGCAGGCATTAATCTTATTGCAAATTCGAGGTGAATAGCATTTTTGCTTCTAGACTGTACTTAGAGGTCAGTTCATGTCATAATTTAGCAGCAGAGAATTCGCACTCTTATCAGTACGATTCCTGGGGCTGATTGCATCGTTATCATACCTTGTGCGAGGCTCTCACAATCAAAGCATCCTTTATTTATTCATTACCTTTTGCTTTTATCTGCATGGCCAAACCTGTGCTTCTGAGAAACATGAGCAAAAGAGGCACATGTTATACACATCCCACATGAAGAAAACACTTAAAGTGATACAGATATTTGAAAAACCCCTTTTACAGTGTTTATAAATGAAAGCAGCCGAGCCATTGGCAGCACTTGCTGTCTGAATCCTTAATGAGAACAGTGGCTTTTCATGTGAAGTTTTTGAATTTATTGGAAAATTGTCTAGCAGATAATGTATATATTGAGGGAAGTAGGTTAGAGTGGATAAGAAGAATAGGTAAGTTTGAGATTGCTGATGTCTGGCAGTTCCAGTGAAAAGATTGAGATGGGTATGGGTGAAGTAAGATTTCTGAAGAGTGGAGGATGGGACTGTTGTACAGGAAAGACTCCTTGTTTAACAAAGGGATGATGCATTGTACATAAAAGCTGTTAATAGTTAAACTAAAGGTATTGATGCTGCAGGTCAAAATATCTTGGAAATAATGGGGTATATATAGGCACTAAAATGGGTAACAGTCTGCCCCAGCTGCAAAGGTAAAATTGAAGATTGCCTGTTATTTGTTACACTCTTTCTGTGTTAGGCAAACAGTTTGATCTGCCCTTGACATGGTTACAAGGAGCCACAGTCACTGATAATTCAAATAAAAGCAAAATACTGTCAATGTTGGAAATCTGAAATAATAACAAAAATCGTACTAGAGAAGCTCAGCAATTCTGGCAGCAAATATGGAGACAGTCAAAAAGTCAAAGGTCTACAGTGCAGGTAAAGGCCCTTCAGCTCATTGAGTCTGCTCTGGTCAAAATCAACACCTAATTATTCTTTTCTATTCTATTCTAATTATTCTAACAGTTCTAATCTCAGAGAAACAGAGTTAATGGTTTGAGTCCACTATGACTTCTTCAGAACTGAAAGGAGCTGGAAAACTTTTTTTATGCTATTGACAAGAGGTGGAGGAGGACCAAGAAGAACAGGTTGTTGAGGTGTCCAGAGCAAAAGAGGTTATACTCTGAAGTTGTATGACTTCTGTCCTCCATTTTTTTTTAACACATCCCCACACCACCACCACCCCACAACTGTCCCTTGGCTGTGCCTGTTTGTGTGAAGTCACAGTCAGTGTGTTCATTTTGTTTATTTGGTGCAAATTAATTTGTAGAAAGGTTACATTGAAAAAGAGTAAATAAGAGCTAACCTAATGGGTTTTGTATTTTGGCTTTAGCAAAAACATTGTAGTTGCAATTTACTCTTGTTAGCCTCTTGATACACATTTAATGTGACTATTACCCTGTAATGTTTTTTTTGTACTGATCATTATTTGGATTGAATCTTTTATATTTTGAAGACTAGAAAATAATTTAAATCCATAGGATGGAATGCTACTTGATCGTTTCATTTTCAATATAAGCTGTGTTTTATAATGTTACTTTTAACTTGTCAAATACATAACATTTATTAATCTATTCGTCTGATTTATTACAGATTTGGTGATGGTCCTCGTCCTCCAAAGATGGCACGTTATGACAACCAAGGTTTTGGTGGCAGAGGGAGTGGTCGTGGATCCAGTTACAGGGGAGGTCGTGGTTATGGAAGAGGCAATAGCTATGGTGGCTCCCGTGGTAGTTTCAATTCTGGATACTATGGTGGAGGAAAAGGTGGTAGTGGAGGAAGCTACCAAGGTGGTGGATACCGCAACTACCAAAGTGGAGGTCGTGGTGGTGCAGGATACGGGAGTTACCAAAGTGGTGGTGGTGGTGGGTATGGGGGCTACCAAAGTGGTGGAGGAAGTGGAGGATACGGTGGCTACCAAAGTGGTAGCAGCGGTGGTGGAGGATATGGAGGAGGATATGGTAATGGCAGAGGTGGCTACTAGAGAGGTGCAGAAGACCAAAAGTTGCATTTGTGCGCTGTTTATATGTATTGACAATAATACAGTTTTGTATTTAATTATTTTCAGAATAGAAACAGTGCATGCGCATTGCAAATGTTGTTATCAATTGTCAGTTTTTATGCAAATATTTTCTTTTACTTGGTGTATACTTAAGTGCAAATTCAGAATAAGGAAATGTACTTGTGACACATTTTAAATGGCAGTTTAGAATCCCCAAGAATATTAAAGTTTACTTAACAAATTACTAGTTTTGAATGACCATATGATTTTCATCCTATTTGAGAGCAGCAATAAAAGGGCTGTTGGTAAACAAGATTTTGCATTTGCCTTTTATCATCCATTTAAAATTTAGACTGAGGTGGGGTAGCCTAAAGGAAAAATTTGTTAAGTGATAGGCTGACAAAACTGAATGGACAACTTTGAAAGAAAACCCCTTCAGCATCAGTTAGTTTGAGATCTGTTTGAAGAAGTCATCTTCATAATGTTTTTTATAGTACATTGCTACAAGCGGAATGAAGGTTGATATTTTCCACAGTACCACTAAGGTTAATCACTTCACTTATGAAGGATACTCCACAAATACTATTGAGAAGATGTTACTTGCATTCATTTCAACCAAAGTCTTACCACATTGCACATTAACCATTCCTCAGCAACCATTGAAATAATTTATTTATTTCTTCATTCATACATCTCATTGCAATTTTTGGGACCGTACTGTGCATGTATTTGCTGATGTATGTCTTTAGATTGATGTTTATAGTTCAAAAATAGTTAATTAGCTTGAAACATTTTGGAATATCCACAGATATGAAAGATATTCTAACATGAAGCAATTTGCCAAAGCTGTATTACACCATTGATAGATACTCTAGGACAAATTACAAAGATTTACGTATTATGAGAAATACAAAATGAATACTTTGCATTGTATTCATCATTAAGCAGCGGTTTGTAATGTAGACTTTCCTGGTATTTGGATAGCTTTGTCAGGGTACTTCCTGCATCTAAACCTAACCAACAGGCCAAGAGCAAAATATCTATGGACTTTGCAATCCAACCTATGCTGACTAATTGGTGCTGAAATGCAAACTGTTAATATGCAGATCACAACAACTGCAAGTCTCTGGTATTTCCAATTTGACAAACCTAATTATTTATAGTGATCTGCCTGAGATGAGGAGAGTACCTTCAACCTTTATTATCCTCCAATTATGCATTCTACACAGCTCACATCTAGCAATTTTGCCCTGCTTATTTGCTGCCTTTGATTGCAATGAAGTTTCGAGGACATCTAGTGCTTTCCAGGTTATTTAAGCTGTGATCATGTGAAAATAGGGCACTTCTGTGCAACCTTACATCCTATCCAGTATTGTTATGATTCCAGCTGATGGGAATACTACACAAGCTCAATCTCAGCTCAAAACTTACTCAGTAGATCCATCATCTTTTACTGTTTGCTGTAAAGGTCAGTTACTATACAAGAGTAAAGTCACCACAGTCCCACTCTGTCATTAGATATGACTAGTAGTGAGTTGAAGTAAATGGGTAAAAACTTGGCAAACGGAATATAATGTGGGAAAGTGTGATGTTATGTACTTTGGCAGGAGGAATAGAAGAGCTAAATATTTAAATGGATAAATGCAGAAAGCTGCAGAAGTGATGCATTTGGGAATCCTCGTGCATCAATCACAAAAACCTAGCATACAAGTTCAGCAGGTAAAGGGAAGGGAGGCAAATGGAGCAGCAGTTTGTATTGTAGATACAGTATTTGTATCCCAGTATTTGGATAGCTATATCAGGGCACTTAGTTCAAAAATTATTTCAAACTTTACTGCAAAAATTCCAAAGACATTTTTGGAGCAATTGAATTAGAGCAGATTTAAAATAAATGAAAGGGTGAGGTTGGTGTATGCCAGCATTGTAAAATGGCTTTGTAGTAAGTAGGAAGTCTAATTTTTCAGCACACTGTATTTTGTTTCCAGTGAAATTGATAGAATGATAGTTCAAAATATTTTGGGGGACTTGTTTCTTAGTCTCACCGAGTTAGTTCATTTGAAATAAGAAGTCTTGCTGACAGTTTGCAAGTCAATGGGAAAATACTGCCATAGAAAAATTACAAAATAGAGCACATGAACTCAAGCATGTTAAGTATTCTATCACAATAATTATCTTCTCTCATGCATTTTTACAAAATTAAAATACAGTATTTTCATGAACAAATTTTATTTACATGAGATAAATGAACAAACTACAGGTAGTATATGCTCTTGGAGATAAAAGTATTAAAAATTCAACTTACATTTGATTTAACAATTGGTCACAAAATTGCTTGGACTATAATTCCAGTGCTCAAGGTAACCTCACGTTAACACTGCTTTCAGCTGCATGCAATACCAAACCAGCTTTTTCTGCTGCTTTTCTGTTACATAACTTTTAGATTGTATTGTTTCTGTCTCTGTTTAGACACACCAACATAAAAAGTGCAGTACAAAATGAGTAATAATAATGATTTCTCCTTGACTATGCTGGCTTTTCCAGACACAGCATTATGGATGAGATACAGGAGATGCTTTTGGTCTGAAATAATTTCAACAAGGCACCTGCTGTAAATTACTCATTACTATGAAGAGAAATATTTATAAAATTGGAGACCTAAGCATTTAAGTCTCTTAAAATGTCATTGGATGCTGCAGTCTGACGTACTTGCAAAGCATGTGGAACTGGTTTCATGCAATTAGATATAGCATGATTTGCAACATCTTAATGGCTATTAATGCTTAAGTGTATGTCATAGCCACGTTGCACTAATCTAGATCATGTCTTCCAAGTTGTGAAAATGACATGTATAATAAGTCTTCACTAAGAATATAGATCTCTAAAGATCGTAGATTAAAAAAAAGTTCTGTATTTAAGTCATGAGCCCCCTGAGTAATGTTCTCCCAGAATCAGAATATGAACGCACCTTTGCAGTGAAGCAAAGGAATATTTCCTAAGGTATGAAAAGCACAACTGTATAAAAGTCAGTATCAGCAGATGATTTTCCTTGTAGGATGATGCCAAGATTGTATGTGAATTTTGAGGCTTGGAGGTTGAATACATACTGTCAAAAAAAAATTTTTTTTACAGTAAACAACATGCAATATCTGCAGTGCCTTTAATGTAAAGAAAGACCCAAAATGCTTTGAATGTATTCACAGAAAATGAATACTAGAGCAGGAAGTTGAAAGTTAGGCAGGTGGCCAAACACCAAAAAAGCAGTGAGGTTAAGGGACGGAATCCCACAGAATAAAACCCAAACATCTGATAGAATGAACTTGCCAATGAAGGGATGACATGGATTAGTATGTGTGGAGGTGGTGGTTAAAAAAGGCAAGCGTTAGAATAAAAATATGCTCTGGGAAGACTGGCTGAAAAGGGATGCAATGGACTAGAACTTCAAATTTACTGCACTGGGGGAAGAACAAGTCAATGTGGATCTGAAAGGAGTGGGATGATGAATAGGTGAGATTAAGTGTGGAACAAGATGAACACAGTTTTGCATAATTTCAGTTAGTAGAGGATGGAGACCACCAAGAACACAGGCTGAAGTACTGAAGCTCCGCAGCAAGTTTTTTTTAATTGTGTTACATGAAATTGGAGACAACCATGACTTGTGAAACTGAGACATTACTGCAGGGACAATGTTCCAGTGACTACCTCGTCTTGATTACTGAACTTGACCTAAGCTAAGTGGATGTAGTTTTTCTTGTATTTTTGAGAATGCAGTATGTGTGCCATTGTAGCAACAGCTCCTTGTCTGATGGATAATTCATCTGGTATTAAGTATAATTATTTTTACATTACTTGGCCAATTTGGTGCAAGCAACAAGCCTGTCTTTACCAGGAGGAGAATGGGAGAAATGTGGCCTATAAATTGGGTTGAGGTTGTAGAAGCGCTATCACAAATAGGCCACTTCTTTAATTTAGTATCCATGTTCTTGTAGCTCAAGTCACAGTTTTACTTGGTGTATCAGTAATGATGGAACATAAATGACTATTCTGTAAATTCAAAGATCATTTTGTTAGTGGTCAATATTTTCTTGGTTGTTACTTTACATCTGAAAACAGATGAAATCAGATTCTAAATCTGTAAATCTGATTCTGATTTATTTCAAAGTTAAGGGCTTACAGAATTCAAACCAATCTGCACAAACTTTGCAATTTTACATAGGTTTTACACCCACATACTTGTAAGTGACTGCTCATAATGCAGTGTCTGCAGACATATACATCTGATTGTGAAATCATACGTCATTTAATTAAGCACATACATACTGATTACACCCTTAAATGCACAGCTGTACACTGAAGTGAAAATATATTATTTCATATATATAAGTACTCTCAGATGTTAGACTTAAAAGATTTTTACTTTAAGTTTTGTGTTCTCAGAATTTGGGTTACACTCTTTGGGGTAAATTCCTCAAGGCACTTAATTATTACTTTTCTTCAGATCAGCTGCAACTGAGAATTTTGTGAATATTCCATGCCATTTAATTTGTCATAAGCTTACAAAATGCTCAGATTTTCTGTAGTTTGGTTAAATACAGAAAATGCAACAAGGTTGTGGAAAATTTATGAACTTAACCATTCCAAGTCTTTAATCTGTGTTTAAATATAGATTCCTGTTGGTGCCAGTAGTAAATTTCTCTATTCTCATGTAAGTTTGAAGCCTAGCTATAGTGCACATTAATGAAAACCACCATTACTTCTGAACAAATTGACAGAAGGTGGTTTAAATATGTACTATACAAGTAACTTCTAAACTATTTTTGATTTACTGTCTACATTTTCATCTCACTGTACTATCTTAAACAGATTTAAAAATTCTGAAACCAACGTCACTAAACAGATAACTATATACCTGTTTTGATTTGAACACAAATGTTAAACAGAATTTCTAACTCTGCAGTGTTTTTCTATATCAGAGTAATTAACAAACAATGACACCTATTTCTCCCATTGAATTGTTTTCAAACTTGTTATTGTTCATTTCGAGGCTCATGTTCTGCATTGCCTTGACAAGATCATCTCTCTTGTCACCTCCTGCAGCACATTCCAGTACCTCCTCATCTACTTCACGGCAATGTCTGTCATCAGGCTGGATTATGGTAACACCGTAGCCATTATTGGAATGAACATAATTGTTGTGAAGTTTCAGTTTTGGTGGAGGGAGAACCTAAAAAAGACAGTATTCATTTAATGAAATATCAGCCATTACTCAACATTCCCTTCAATTACAATCTTGCCTTTATCTAAGAATTTAACATAAG